AGAACCGGGCAATACACCCCCACCAAGAATTCCCAGTAGTACCCCCTTCCGGGGATCAGGAGCAGGGTGTAAATCATGTCATCATAATCATCGCTTAGAATATAACGTTGGATGACTCATTTCGGTTATTATTCACGTATGTGAGTAATCCCTCGCACCTAAATACTGCTTTTGTGCATCGCATTGACCTTCTCGTCTGAGTTCTTCATTCAGTCCCTCATATTCCCAAGGCTTTATTTGAAACGGAATTGTGGCATCCGATAAGAATTTTACTGATCTGACTAACACCAATACTATTTTTTTTTTAATTCGGTGCTTCTTATTGGTGTAAAACTGCAAATTGAAATCTCTTCAAACTCCTTTTTATAAAATTCAGAGTTTAATTTCAGTCGCCTTGAGTACCGGCATAACCTTCCTTCTCCGTGGGAAGAACAGACTACGTGAACAGCCAAGGGAATGTGAAAGCTGGGACTACTGTTTTTGCTAGTCCGCTTTCTATTTCTCTCAGTTTTACCTTCTAAAGCTGTTTTTATATACATAGTCCGTAGTCCGGGTTTTATACCTAGTCCGTGTTTTATACTCAGTCCGGAGTCCTCATTTTATAACTAGTCGGTATTTTATACCCAGTCCGCAATCCGTGGTCCGCAGTCCGCAGTCCATGTCTTATACTGACCGGTTGTATACAAACAATACAATAAGGGCGCCCTTAAAGTTTAGAAGCCAGTTTATACATGCTCTAAACAACGGATAACCATATTCTAGTTGGGTGCAAATTTATTTTCGCAGATGTTATGGTTGTGTGCCTAAACTCTTTTCTTTTTTAGATAGAAAGTAGAGGCTAAGAATAACCGGAAAAACATCTTGGTTAAAGAACTAATGAGGCTAAAGTTTAGTTCTGAACATTTTATATGGCAGTCTCACCAAATTAAATGAGCAGTAAACTAGGGCTATGTTGACACTGTACCGGATAGCCTTTCTTGGCAATACGGAAAGCTATCCGCGGTATAGTACCAACGCCTAAGGACTGTTTCAGACGCCGTACTTTTCATGTGCTGAACCTAACTGACTAAGTTCGACTTTGGAACGACAGTGACGCGACACATGATTCAGACCGCGCACCGTGTGTCGCGCCTAAGTTAAATTCGACAGACTCTGTCGAATTTTTATCGCACCAACCTCTTTTGCCGTACCTAACTAAAACTGCCGTACCAAATTGATTCAGACGCCGCTCTTTTGCCGTACTTAATTCATCAGTTAGGTTCGTCACATTAGAGGAGCGGCGTCTGAACCGGGCCTAACTATCTGATATGTGAGTCGGTCACTTTTAGAGATCGGTGAGGCGCAGTTTGGCATCGTTACAGAAATCGAGTCGAAATCATCGCTCTTATTTGTGAACCAATAGAATCCCTATTCGGCATGGTTTTCGTGCCAACGCAATTAAAGCCATCCAGTATAGCGTCAACATAGCCTAAGACGTAGCAATCTAAAGCGTAACTGACAGTGAGTCGACTACTAATGAGCCCCTCAGCTCCGTAGAACACAAAAATAAGGAAGCAGTCACTTAGGGCCAGCATTTAAATGGAGTTTAGCCGGTGTTTAACAAAACCGCGCGCGTTCCAAGCCATTTTCAGTTTGCAGACGCTTTTAATTTATGTTAACACCATTTATAGTAAACATTTTCATAAAAGCATATGGCGTAGACTAGAAAATCATTTGTCTTCTTAAAACAACCCACTAAGGAAGAGATTTAGAGGTCCAAATATTTCCTAAAGTGCGGTCTGAGTTTAAATAACCGACCCCTATAATCATTTCTATCAACTAATATACTAAGAGAAAGGATTATTCTTCCGAACACATCTTTCAGACACCCAATCTGGCCTTACAGTGAAATAAGTCCGCTTCTCTTTGTTGTTGCTGTAAAACGCGTTGCTATGCAGAAACACATAGTCATCAAGCCAGCCCGATCTTGCAGCGGGAACAAAACCAGGCTGAAAGCTCTCGCGGGGCTGGCCACGGATAGAATCGGGAGGACGCCGATACATGAAACTGGAGGCGAGCTTGACGTGAGGTTGGACGAGTTTTACCTTTGGTGTGAAGCTAAAACGATATTCAGATCTCGCGGGACCCGTCTTGTTCACCGTCATGCAAAGAAGAGGGGGTAGCTTGACTTTCTCAGGCATATCCGCTGTACAATGGCTATAAAGACAAACCCTCAAGTCGTTGCTGATGGCGTGGACGAAATCTCTGAATATATTTCTGCTTCCTTTAGTTACAATTATAGTTTATTTCGCTGCCTTCCAGCATTTAATTCAGTCCGATCCATACAAGTCCAAGTTGTTATCCGACGTAATTGTTCAGTCAATTCCAAGCTGATATGGGTAAAAGAGGTTTATATACCGTAATTTTGTTTTTGTACAAAAGTTTGAACACAAAACTTTATCTTTGTCGCTTTTTTCCTGTCAAAGAGTTGTTTGCTTGCTGAATAACCGAGTCTGTGCGGACACTGCCTTGAATTTTTTAAAAGTCTTAATTGTGCACGCAAGAACTCTCTTGGGCATGGCATTTGACATTGTCTTCCTTAATCTCCCTACATAATACTTCATTTCGATTTGATTCCTTGTTCTAAGCCTCATGTCTAAGAAATCTGTTGTAAGATAAACTTCTTAAAAAGAGTTTGTTTCAATGACTTAANAACTGGAGGCGAGCTTGACGTGAGGTTGGACGAGTTTTACCTTTGGTGTGAAGCTAAAACGATATTCAGATCTCGCGGGACCCGTCTTGTTCACCGTCATGCAAAGAAGAGGGGGTAGCTTGACTTTCTCAGGCATATCCGCTGTACAATGGCTATAAAGACAAACCCTCAAGTCGTTGCTGATGGCGTGGACGAAATCTCTGAATATATTTCTGCTTCCTTTAGTTACAATTATAGTTCATTTCGCTGCCTTCCAGCATTTAATTCAGTCCGATCCATACAAGTCCAAGTTGTTATCCGACGTAATTGTTCAGTCAATTCCAAGCTGATATGGGTAAAAGAGGTTTATATACCGTAATTTTGTTTTTGTACAAACGTTTGAACACAAAACTTTATCTTTGTCGCTTTTTTCCTGTCAAAGAGTTGTTTGCTTGCTGAATAACCGAGTCTGTGCGGACACTGCCTTGAATTTTTTAAAAGTCTTAATTGTGCACGCAAGAACTCTCTTGGGCATGGCATTTGACATTGTCTTCCTTAATCTCCCTACATAATACTTCATTTCGATTTGATTCCTTGTTCTAAGCCTCATGTCTAAGAAATCTGTTGTAAGATAAACTTCTTAAAAAGAGTTTGTTTCAATGACTTAACTTTTTTTTTTACAGCATTAATTTCTGCCAGATCACTTACAGTGTAAAGATTCGATCGGCTTCATTTAATGAAGGAGGGCTTAGCTTTCAATCCCAGGGGTTGGGAGGGAGGGGAGGGGGGGTTATTCCTAGGAATTCTTGGTGGGGGTATGTCTCCCGTTTCTCCAAATCCTGACCCCATTTCACACAAAAACATTGGTATTTTCCACACCCTTTTTCAGACCTGGTATAGGTAGAAATGAAGTTATCATTTTTAGACTTAAGCTTATAAGCTCAGTCAAAAAGACTTCTTAAAAATCCATTTCGAATTCAGCATATTACTATTTCCTTCTGATTAATTTGGAATTTAAACGACAAATGCCTTTTATACACTCCCTTAGTTTCCTCGAAAACGAAATCCGATTCCAGACCAAACTGGGCAAAATCTATACCCGTTTTCAGACCGAAATGGCCCAAAAACCATGTATACCCTTTGGGGTGGCACATACCTAATTATATGCATTGGCTTATATAACTGACTACCTCCCGAGCTTCAACTGCATTTATTGAGATTTCAAAATACTAAAAATGTTCTGAGCGGCGTTTCTCAGCAAGAAAGATTTAAAGGCCGGTTTACTTGATTTCTAGCATCGTTGATAAAGAATAGTGCCGGATTATTGATTTTCGTTTAAGGACGGTGCCCACTAATGGGAAGTATTTTTTCTCAGATAATGACTATGTGAGACAAGTAGATGCTGTGCTGTGCTGCCCAAGGGCTGTTGAAATGCACAGAGAAAACTGGGGGTTACACCACGCATTTTTCAGAGATAAATGAGCTTAAGTATGGAGAAAAACTCTGAACTGGCCTTTTTTTAGAAAAATTAAGTCAAAAGTTATTTTTCTTCCCAAATTTAAGAGTGTACTCGTTAACTGGCACAAATGCAATGATAATTGTAACGAGGCTTAAAAATGTATAAATATATAATATATGGGAAAAAAAATCTCTCCAAAGTTTTCGAAGTTATTTAGGGACCAGTCATAATTTAAGTTGGAGGAGGGGGTGGAGGAGAAATTGGGGGGCCTTCAATTTTTTTTGGATGGAATATGGGGGGCCTTAAAATGCCAAAAGATGACCTTGGTGGGGTCTTCAAGTTTCTTTTAAGTAGCATCCCTACTGAGCAGCATGATGCTTGAGTATTAAAGGACCTGATTTTGATTCAGTTTTACACAAAGTCCTATAGCTGTTTGAGAGGCTCTAGGTGAAGTTTAGTGCGAAGTGCTTCTCTGTTGTTAGTTGGCACATTCGGAAGTGACAGTGAGTAAGAACGGTAAAGCAAAGAAAATGTTATATGTTATTACCATTTGGGTATTATGTAAGAAAGGGGGGCCCTTAAATACTTTAACATGATTGAAGGGGGGGGGGGGGTACCTAAAAAAACATGGGTGATATTAGTAGGGGTCTGGAAATAATTTGGGCTAAAATACAATTTCTCCTCCACCACCCCCTCCAACTTAAATTATGACTGGTCCCTTACATTTTTGGGAAAATGTGGTTTGCAAATTTTTAAAAATACGGGCTGTTTTGCAGACTAAAAATGCCTGGACTAAAAGGCATATCATTGATAGGGGATGCTCAATGGTCAGAAGTGGTATATAAAAGGGTGAGAAGGGGGAAGCCAGCCTAGTCCCTAGGCGTTCTCGGCTCTGTCAATGCTGGACTCTCCCGTGAGCAGTGACGTCACCGAGAGATACTCTTCAGTCGAGTGATCGTAGCACTTTGTATACGCAATAACCACTTTTGCACTTGGAAATAAAACGAACTGACGCACTTCGTAACAATCGCCGTTGAAATTTGTAATAAAATAAACTGTCACACTTTACAATAACTGCCATTGAGCGCAATATGTAACAAAATAAACTTTGCAACATTCGCCATTGCACTTTTTAATAACGAACTGTCTCGCTTTATTATAAGCACCATCACTACTCTCTTTAATTGTGACGGATGTAGAAATGGATTTGTATGCATCCTTAACAGAGGAGGTTGGACACGGTCCGAAATGCTTCTTGGCAGGCGTACTCAACCAATCACTTCACTGCGTTTGTTCATTGCTCTTTTTACAAGGACTGATCACACGTAAGAAATCAAGAGTTTATTTGCGTTTACCCCTGATCGTTACCATCGAGGTCACATAGTATGTGTTTATTGTGTTCCATATCTCAAACCGCTCTTTGCCTGGACTGCAAAACTGCAAAACAGTAAATGAATCATACCATTAGATGACCGAGGATCTGCTGCTGACCCACGTAGAAGCCAACCGTTACCACAAGTAAGTACTTATGAACAGTGCTTGTCACTATCAGTGCCTAGAAACCATATATAATATATAGATTTAGCCAGGGCTAAAGGGGAGGCTCTCGTTGATACCTATAGTTTGCTCAAACAAAATATAAAATCGTGTAACTGCTAAGCGGCGACAGCAGCGAAAACAGATTATCCGTCTCTAGCGTGAAAACGGCCATTAAGACAAGCTTCATAGACGCCGGTTCATTGCCTTTGTCCAGTTTAATATCTGAAAGACCGGCTGCATATTACAGTATGTGGTCCTTGGTCCGCGACTTTTCCGAAAATGATAAAATGCTTCGTCGAAAAAAAATACGTTGAATAATGAGAGATATCGTGATTTACTGATTAGCATTCTTTCATATGACGAAGTTTCGGCTTTCTTGCTGTGGGTGAAGACGCGAAATTAAAGTTTGTTGACAGGTAGGTTAATTTGTCTTTCTTGAAGTTTGGATTTTTGCGGTACCGTAAATTACATGGTCATGTTTACTTAGCCTGCGAATAAATAACACGCAACGGGAAGGAGGCCTTTTTGCAGAAAAGGTTTTCAGATCAACTTATAATTATTTTTGCTGTTGGAAGCATATTGCTGTAGACTCTGAATTTTTTGTTTTATCGACTCTCGAAAAATGTCACCAAATTTAGCGGTCCTTGGTCCGCGACCTATGACCTTGGTTGAATAAAACTTCCCAAAATAAAAAGCGACGGCCTTTGTTTTCGAAGAATGTTTTGAAAATCGTCCCTATACATGTCTACAAGTTCTCTTTTTTAATACCTCGATTACATACAGAGTTTTTGGTAATTATTTTCGACCGCGCTGAAAACCGCTCGTCGACGCTCGTCTGGGAGGCTCGAGGAGACTGTTGTCTGAAGTCTTTGAAAGAAAAGCAGATTATTTTATACTCAAAACATCTTCTGAAAAAAACTTTAGCTTAATTGCATCAAGAAAAGAAAAGAAAATCACGTTTTCGAGTGGAAACTATAACATTTTTGCGTTTTTTTCCCAGAAACCCAAAGACCCACTCGGGCCCAGAGACCTAACGACCCAAAACCCCAAGGACCTAAAGTCCCGGAGGACCCAACGACCCAAGCTCCCAGAGGACCAGAACCCAACAGCCCAAAGCCCTAGCAATCCTAGAAACCCTATAGTTCCAAAAATTCCAGCAGTC